TGACTGAACTCTTGCTGTTTGACAAATGAAAACCTCACTTTGTTTCAGTTCTTGGCACCAGTTGAAGGGAGAGGAACCAGTCCATGCCCTTTTTGGACGTCTACAGATAATTCACCATTTACTCATTGACGCAGAGCCAATTCAGTCAGCCTGAAAGATTTTTCTCTCTGTTTTTTTTTTTTTTATGTTCTGGAAACAGAGACTCACTTGATTGCATCGACAACAACACGAACGCAGAGTTTTATGTCACATCATTGGTATTGTATCACACGCTGACTGAACAAAGAACTAAATCACACTGATTATGAAGCTCAGTATTTACAGATGTATTTACAGACATTCTACCTTCTTTTTTTTATCATTTCTCTGTGTCTTACCTCCTGTGTCCAGTCTACACCCTTCCTTCCATCCACCTACACCGTGGTGATTGTGAGTCGTTACATCTATACCAGCGGTCCCTGACCTTTTTTGATCCAAGGACTGGTCAGCCAGTTACCCTTGACCTCTTATTTTAAAATACTGCCAGATTATCTTTAAATAAAGAAAGTAAAGGGATATGACTGGATTTTCTTTGAATGACATCAATTAGTAAAAATTCAGTTTTTCACTGTGTCCCACTGCGGCCTGACCTATGGACTCGTTCTGGCCCGTGGACCATGGGTTGGGGAGCCCTGATCTATATAGTCTTCTATTGACAACCGGCCCTTCAAGGGGAACTGTACTGATGATGTGGCCCCCTGGTGGAAATGAGTTCGACACCCCTGCATTAAAGCTGTACTGTCACTGGAGTTCTGCACTTGAGGCATTCTCTCGTTTACTCCATCCTCTACAGAAACCTCATGTGGTACTGTTGTTTTTCTATCACAACCTGAAGTAATAACTGGGCCAACACAGTAACTGCTGTGTTAAAAAAAAAAAACCCAAACACTACATCTGAGTCTACTTTCAACTGGGGCCAAACAATAGTTGACACTAAAGTCAAAATACCAAACCACAAACGCAGCACGATTTGCCATTACTGAGTATTAAACTGGAAAATACAAAAGGTAGTAACAAAAACTGGGTAAACAATAGCCTTAATCCCTCATCAAAGTGTCATGTGACCTAGTGATTAATGATGTTTCAATTCTTCTCCGTGTTATTAAATTGGCTGAGAGTGCACTTGACGGTCAGAGTTTCCCCTGAAATGTCTTTTACAGACATAAAATCAAAGTCTGCCGCCGTAATCTAAACAGCAGTGAACTGTCAAACGCGGTTTGACAGAGTGTGTGATGATAAATAATAGACTGCCGGCTACTGTTTAATTTCTCACAGAAAGCGGTTGACTTTCTTCCATCCCGTTCAGAATTGATTACAGCGAGCATCCTGGCTGATATCGGACGGTAATATGACAGCGGCAGACAGTGGCCGTAATCACCAGGCTCACATGAGACCGACCTTTTTGACCTCGCCGCTCCTTTAATCTTTTAAGGCCATAATCGATATGTCCCTGGTAGACCTTTTTCACTCCTCCTGCCACTCCACCTTGAGACGCGTTGTGCATTTAAAAGGCACAGCAGGAGAAGACGCCCGCTGGAAAAAAGAACATCTACTCACATAAATCCATTAAAAGTCGGTGTCGGTGTCACTGCTGAGGTGCCTCCTTAAAAAAAACTCAAATGGGCTTCTTAGTACCGGCAATATTTTTTCCCACGGTAATTTAATTGCGTCTAACGTCTAACAAAAGCTGGTGATTTTTACTTCAAAGTCTGTCGGTCAGGGTAAGGCAGACGGGAGGTGAGGGAAGAATGATGCATAAAATCAGGATTATCCGAGCTGGGTTTTTTGTGGTCCACTCCACCGCTGGGCATCTGTTGCTATAGATGTGTCTGTGATGTCACTTCAGTGGACAGCTGCAGGGTTTGTGTTCTGTCTAGGTCGACTGTGGAGGCTTGAGTTTCAGCAGAACTTTTGAGAGACACTGACCATCAAGACCATCAATTTCTTACTGAACATCTTGGTAAAAAAAAAAAAAAGGTGGCTAACGTGACTAGCTACTGCTACTGAGTGGATTATTTGCCTGAAAAGATTTTTAGCTACTGCTTGCTAGTGAGTGGATTATTTGCCTGAAAAGATTTATAGCCTCTACAGAGAAAATCTAAAGGCTTCACTGCTTCTCTCGCTCTTAGTAATTTGACCCAAAAAAGAAGGGATGTCCGATAGTATCGGCCAATAATATCATAATTATGTCATATCAGTGAGAATCGTTATTCTGTAGCCTGGGTTTTGCTCAGATGATGTGACTCAAAAATAGTTTGTGTGCAAAAGGCTGCATGACGCAGTACCGGCTGCGTATCGGGATTGGAAATTACAAGTTTGGACAGTATCGGCGAAAAGTTAATACCGAACATCGCTACCAAAAAGTTGACATCAATGAATCATTAACTCAGTCGTACTACTTTTCAGAGTTGCAGGGGGGCCGGAGCCAATCCCAGCAGGTGAGGGAGGGGTACATCCATCATGTAGAGACACTCATGCCTATGGTTAATTTAATTTATGTTTGTAAATTTTGGAGAGAACATGCACACTTCTATACAGGAACAAGAACAGGAATGGAACCAGCAAACCTGTGATCTTTCCATAACAGGAGAGCTAACCGTTCTGCCTCGCGGCCGCGTTCACAAATCGATTCATTTAATTTACACCTGCCTGCCTTGTCAAGTGTAGCTGACTCATACACCATCACTTAAACATTCATACAGTTCTTTTTTTTTTTCCACCACACATCTGTCACAGTCGTGCACATGCTGCCAAGACTTGACTTGCCAAGTCCTGACACATCAGCATAAGCCAGTGACCTTTAAAGCTAACGCCACAGACTAATTCAGCCGCGGCTGTTCAGTTGAGGACCGAACATATTTCCAGCAGGTGTGAAAGAAGAAGAAAGACGGAAGGAAGAACGCGAAAAAAAAGTGAAAAGCAAGCTGGCTCTGATGTGACACAGAGCCAATGTGTCTTGTGGCATCAGCGTGTCTTCTAACAGCTTAGCCTCGTCAAAAACACTCAAAACAGATGTTTCACTTCCTCAGTGCACATAATGAAGATCCAGCTCCCACAGAAACGGAGGCATTTACACCAGAACAATCAAAAACACCAGACAGCACAGTTTGTTGTGACAGCTGCTCCAGTACAACATCCGGAATCAGAGCCCGCGGAGGAGGCGATCCACCGGTTCACTGGATCTGTCTCTGACCAAACTCAACACCACGGTGCCTTAGCCAAGCCCTGAACGGACGACCAAATGAAACATCCTCTGTGTCACAGAATGGAACTTGCTGTATGATTACAATCACACAAACACGAGGATACTGCCGATGATGGTTGTGTAACGTAATGATATTTTAACAGGCCAAAGCAGGGTGTGCGAATTTGACCTTAAAGGTCAGTTTTTTAAACGTCTGAAAATGCTAAGTCTGTGTAACACTTTGTTCATCTTCTTCCACTTCCAATCAAAACAGACTTCGGATAATCCCAGAGACGGGGCAACCAATCACGATCACACTTGCATGTTTTCAAACTGTTGTGTAAACTGGAGTAGTTGGATCCCCCCCCCCCAAGCCCACAGAGCAATACCATTAGTTACCACCAGGGATCTTTTGGGTGACCTTCTCGCTGTAAGGCAAGAATGCTAATCACCACTCTGCCATATGGCCCCATGTTGGACTTTTTTCTGACCAAAGAAGCACAGCGCTGTGTTGCAAACAGTGGCATTGCTCCTTTACTGGCAGCCTCGTTAGTTAGTTGTCATTGCAGCAGTGAGTGTTTGCTCCTCCGTGCTGTTTACGGTGTTCTGATATGAAACCATAACAGTCTATTTTTAAAACGTCTCCCTCGCAGACCACTATATTCACGGGCTGCGCTCACTTGCACCGTTGTTTCAACAGCCACGGGCTCTCCTCCCTGATGCTGCGCACACATACACACGCACGCACGCACGCGTGCACGCGCACAATCGCACGACAACATTGGAGAGTGCGCGAGTGTGCGTGTGTGTGTGTGTGTGTGTGCGGTGACATCACATTATCTCACATCACATGGAAATGAACAAAAATGGCTCCTCCCACTCTGCCCACCCCTCCCACCCCAACATACACACACTCACTCACTCAC